CGTAGATATTTTGTTTTAAAGTAAATTTCTTGTGGACAGAACATATGCGAAGCCAGAAAGTTGCTTAAAAAAGGTTAAATACAAAAATGGCTATTCCATAAAACTTATACTTATTTGGTCATGATTTGTTATTGCGATATTAGCTCCAATTTTACCAAGCCCGAGATATGCTATTGTACATGCTCTATTTCTCCAGCAGTGGGCTCATTATAAAGGTGACGCCAATCCCCCCTAAAACCGTGTAGGCGGCGGGTTCTGCTGTCTAAATGCTCTCCCTATGATGGCTAAGTTTGAACCTCAAGGTTTCTGATCTAGAAGTTTAACCGGTCAAGTCGAAAATACCAAAAAGTTTATTGTTTTATGATTTGTTTATAATAATTCTTATACAAAAATAGAAAAACAAATAAGTTGATAACAAGTAGAATCTCAGTTCAGGAACGATTGAAAAATAAATTAAAGAAACAACAACATCGACGGCTCCTGTAAAATGACAACTGCAGGAAAAAAACAACAAAAAAACCGGTACTTATACAATTTTTTAGGTTAAAACAGATCTTGAAACTTCATTACTGGAATAGCAATTCATATTAGCTGTGTAATATTAAATGATTACTACTGAAACAATAAAAAATCAGTATTTGAAAATTTCATATAGGTTAAATGACTGAAAACAATGAAAATAACTATTACATAGCATTTTGACATGTCATCATGAGATGAAACTGATGCTAACAAATTAGCTTCACCAAATATGGTGCATTTACTTCTTAAATATTTCAATAAAGTTTGAAGATATTTTGATTATTCTAACTTTATTTAAATTAAACTACAGGTATAAAATGTTTTATACAATGAAAAAAATAACCATAAACTTCAAAACAAGATTACATTTATTTCACTCAAGGTTTCGTTCCTACAGATTATTCAAGAGTAGCCTTCTACTTATAATGTTAGAATCTCAAGGAGTAACTGACTATACACTTTTAAATTTGTTTTATAGACCAATAGAAAACGTCTAAATAACTCCAGTAAGCAATATAGTCGTATAACTTTAGGTATAAAATTTAGCAACAAAAGTTCATGCAACTGGGCTAACCTTAGGAATATAATTACACTTTTGTTAAACTGTGGTGTGATGAGAAAATTAACCACTGCATGGTCTTCAGTTTCTGGACTTGTCAATTAAATACTACTTTGTCTTTAAGAAGATCTTTTACAATATCATAATCCTCATTCTACGGTATTGATATTTCCAAGACAATGATTTTACAGAAGGATTTCACATACCCCTTATCCTCATAACTATTTCGTTGCTGAGAAGACTTGTTACAATATCATAATCCTCATTCTACGGTATTGATATTTCCAAGACAATGATTTTACAGAAGGATTTCACATACCCCTTATCCTCATAACTATTTCGTTGCTGAGAAGACTTGTTACAAGACTCTTATTAACTGTCAGCAGATTGGCTCGTCAAGTAGTTTTTGTATTACACTGAGTTTTGTTTAAGCAGCCTCCTTATTTTACTGTTCTGTAACTATTTTTAAAGTTAATTTTTCTCCCTTGTTCAACAGAGCTCCTTCATTTCTACATGAACGTTTTTACACTAAGAGTAGTTTGTTTGTCCAAAAACTATGTAATCAGTTCTGTAAAGGTTTTTGTTGTGAGAGTGTGCTATTTTGATCTTATACTTGCTAATGAAGCTAATTTTATTTTAATGACACATGATGTAGTATGTATATAGTTTCAGACCTATCACCCACTTGATTAGTTGTAAACATATCTTTTAAATTCATGTGGCAACCAAGTATTTTTCTAAAGAAATATAAATCAGTGGACTCTTACTTCATCTATTTTAAACGTGTTTATTTATACATAAGCACAGAATTTCAAGTTTTTACAAGAAAATTACAATGGAATAACGATGTGCTTACAATATTTTTTTTAAAATAGAGAAAACAAAATCCTTCAAAGTCTTTAATGTGGAAGGTAAATATATTATTATGTACATAAGGAGAAAACTGGAATGGTGAACATATATCTGATGAAAACACTATTAAATTTTCTAACCAGAGGTCTAATTCCAAATGCATATAAGAAGTAGAGCTGATTTACATGACTGTACTGAGTCAAAAATGACTTTTTTCTCTTTTAAGTAGCGTTGAGATTAATAAAAAAAACTTCTCGAAGTAAGAATAATCTGACAATAAAAACAGACTACTGTAAATGCACTAACTTACTGGTATAGTTTTAATAATAAACAAGATTAGTAATAAGGCTGTACTGTTTGGAATAAAACCAGTAGCACTATACATATACAATTCTTAAATTTATCTATGTATGTATGAAAAGGATGTGCATACTCCAAGTATCACTGTTGATACAGTGGCAGTACATCATGTGATGTAGAAAACACACAAGAAATAAACTTATAATGAACTAAACAATTTTTTTTAAATAAGTGATTGAAAAGATTTTTTTAAGTGACTAGAGCAGGCTTTAAAGAATATTACTAAAATATGAATACTTAAATGTCATCTCTTTGGTTTAGAATTACCATTACTATAGTGATTGTAGCTTGAATTCAAAGAACATTACTAAAATATGAATACTTAAATGTCATCTCTTTGGTTTAGAATTACCATTACTATAGTGATTGTAGCTTGAATTCAAAGAACATTACTAAGACATGAATACTTAAATGTCATCTCTTTGGTTTAGAATTACCATTACTATAGTGATTGTAGCTTGAATTCAAAGATAATTCTGATGGGGATACTCAATGTAGCAATCAAATGTTAATCTTTATTTTCTTTTGGAAGAGGTAGCTTACAAATGTATTCTCTTCAACTATGCACTATTAGTTTTTTGCAGACATATTGCTATTGATAACATGTCAAGTGTTCTGTAGCATGAAACGTACAAATACTGTATCCTTGCTTTCCTTGATGTTTCATTTATACCCAATGCTTACCTTTTAATCTGGGTTTTATCAGAAAGAACCTAATAACTTTTTCTTAACTATATGTTAGTATAGTCAAAGAGGAATGTATGTTTTATATAGCCACCATTTCTATAAGCTAATACATTTCATTACTGCTTCTAATCCAGAACAATAACATGAAAGGTATTATATATGTTTTTTAAAATTCACATGGGGTGGGATAGGGGAGGGTTATGAAGTACATTAACTGTGGATCCAACTGACTGTTGACTAGCTAGGAGTCAGCAGAAAATATTGAAAAAATTACACTACTATTTTCTCGGTAGTTTCTATGGTTGTCATTGGCAAGAATATAACAATTACATGTGCCTTTCTAACATTTTACCATTTTGAGGTTTTTTGAGAAATTAAAATAAAGAAATCTACTTCAGAGGAAAAACTGCCCATTTAGCCCTTACCACACATTATTTTAAGTAAATATCAGAAAACTGTATTATCTTGAGTTCTCAGAAAAATTGTTTTCAAACTTATTTAAAAGTCTAATCTTACAAATGTTTTAATCTATTTCAGGAAACAACATTCTTTTTACAGTGAGAGCTACTTTTAATTTTCTTGCACTTACAAAAAAGTCTTGCCTATAAATCAGTACGATATATTTATTATATATATATTTTAAATGTTTAAATACAAGTGTAAATTCCATTGAAGTAATTTACATTCAATATAAAGAAATATTTTGATTAAAAAATAAAGAAAGAAGACCAGTGTTAGAAAAGATACTTCAAACAAAACCTTGAACAAAAAAATGTTCAACAATGAACAAAACGAGCAATTTTGAAATTATAATTAAAGAATATTATATGGTTACACATAATAAACAAATTATAGTACATAACTGGCAGCTCTATAAATTGTTCAGATGATCTACCAGCAACATGTAGAGGACATTTCCTAGCACCACTTGGTTCAGATGATCTACCAGTAACATATAGAAGACATATCCTAGCACCACTTGGTTCAGATGATCTACCAGTAACATGTTGAAGACATTTCCTAGCACCACTTGGTTCAGATGATCTACCAGTAACATGTTGAAGACATTTCCTAGCACCACTTGGTTCAGATGATCTACCAGTAACATGTTGAAGACATTTCCTAGCACCACTTGGTTCAAACGATCTACCAGTAACATGTTGAAGACATTTCCTAGCACCACTTGGTTCAGACGATCTACCAGTAACATGTAGAAGACATTTCCTAGCACCACTTGGGGAAATATATCTTAGAAACCTATCAAAGCAGTCTACTAATAACATCTAGTCTTTTAAAAAGAATAATTTGTAATTCTGCATAACATCATTAATTGTGGGTTAACCTTGAAAGCTATGCATCTTTGTTATCCTATTTGTACTTATGACCCATTCAAATTATTTTTAGAAACATCAAGTGTTTTCTGTGAAGGTTGTACATTTTGCTTATTGGTACTTATTTTTTTACAACACTAAGTATCATAATAATTGGCCAATATGTAGGAAGACTTAGTATTAACAGCTGATACTATTGATAAGGCAAAGCACTGTTTGACGACAAGCCCAAGTATTTGAAAACAAGACTTATAAGAAGCAATTTCTATACTTGAAAGTCCTTATCTATAACTTTTCACAAGCAATTATTTGAATTTACTGTAGTCTTCAAACAAAAAATTTGGAAGTTACATTAAATGTATTATGTTAAATCTTATTAGAAGCTTAAATTTATGCAAAAATGTAAATACTGACTGTCATATTATTAAATTTTGGCTTCAATAAATGCATCTTTCATCCTTCTGTCAATAAGAGATCAATAATTCATAGAGAACTGAAAGTTATATTTTCTATCCATCAGATGTTTTAACTTACCATAAACTAGCAAATTAAATGTATTTAAATAATGTTTCATTAAGGCAGAACTAAATATCTGCCTTTATTTTTTCCAGATCAATAATAATGAAAATGTATTTATGCAGTTACAGCAAATGTATAACATAACTTTGATTACTATTTCCTTATAACAGTTAAACAACGAGACTACATGAGTGCATCACTATTCAACAATATACAGATAGAACCAGTCAACCAAGAAATCTCATATATTTATATCCTAGCAATGGGTTTGTATCAAACTGAAAATAAGTTGAAGTTTTTTTCTACTTTATCAAACAGACTTTTAAACACCAGCATTTATCTGGATTAATTTAAGAAGTTCTAGAACTTTGTGCAATTTTTAGTTTCTAGTTGATTTTTCATCTTTTCAAGTTAAAACACTCATAACTATTTCATGTACATATGTATATAACCTTTAAGCTTGTTAACTAAAAAGGAGTTAGATAGTTTTGGTTTTTCTACAAATAAAGCCATGTTTTGCATCTGTTACTACACAGGTAACCCAAGCACTAGTTACAAGCAAGTTAACAAAAAAACTAACTGAATAACGTGAATAAACCATTCAATCATTTAGTTAAATCTTTTACTTCAGATATGGTTAATGTCATTTAATTCTGTTTACTTTTGTTACCAAATTACAGATGACTGTAACTATCCTAAACCTGCAGTAGCTTATATGTTAATATTTACTGCAAGCAATCTAATAAGCTGATGTGCTTTCAACTTGTTTTTAGGTTTACTTGATGCTCACTTATGCATTTCCTAAAATAACTTTTAAAGTTCTTAGGTTATCATTTTTAAGTTCTAGACAACTGCATTCAAAATGTTCAACTTTTAAACTTCTGAAAATTTCGGAGTTGGCTTAAATAAATGGGTTACATACAGTCAAAGAAACTGCTGTGACTGAATTCTTATGTTTTTCCAATAATAAGGTGCACAGTTTGTCTGTTTGATGGGTTATGATATGTAAAACCAGCATAGGCAGACAAAAAATCCATGCTTATAATTGTGTAAAACTGCTGTGTTTGTTAAAAATGATTAAGTTTTCCAGCTACATTAAAATAACTATTCAATGTGAATTATTCTGGTGTACAAAACAAAGCAAATGCTAGTCATCTGGTAGCTAGACAGTGTTTAGTCCCAAATACAAGTTTTATAAATTAATGATAAATACTGCAGCAGTAAAACATATGCTCTACCAAATATATAAAGATATTCTTCTGTAGTTGTGATTAAACCCTAGCTAACCAGCACTATACAAAAAAAAGTAGATAAATCTGTAAGTACTGATAAATAAAACATGAACACCATACAATGAATGTATCACACGTCCATGACTAGACAAGGCCAAAGTAGTGTTCTCTTGCTTGCGAGGACAACAGTAAATCTTTGATAATGAGTTAAACAGCTAGGTACACACAATAACAATGGTAAAACCAAAGATCAAATGGTATATGTATCACACTGTAGTCCATGCACTCTACTAATTCTTATATGTACTGTAAAAAATACTGTTCAAAGGAGATCTACAAGTCTGCTGTGCTGTGTTGCAATAAGAACTGTTTGAGACTGGTCAGTACTTTATACACTGGTACACTCACAAAAATGGTTGTAATAAGTGAACTTATTTGAGCAGTGCTTTAAAGCACTATTTTGACCAGTATTCAATAAGGTGGTTAGTTATAGCTTACTATTGTTCTAATCATGTATTTAAACTATAAGTTGTTTGGTTACTTTCTCTTGTACCAAATTCTAAATGAAAACTGATTTTTGCACAAATGAACAGAGTGCTAGGAGTAAGTAATAAGAATACTATTTCCCAGCTTCTTATTCTGTGATACAAAAAATTTAAAAAGCTACAGAGGACTATGGATTTAAACATATTATTTCTTTCCTACAGATTTTTATGAGCTACTTTTTAAAATTCTATTAAGCCAGTTTACTGAAATGTGAGCTTATATTAAGCCAGTAAATAGTTCTCTATTTGATGCTTCTTTATTAGTAAGTATTCTGAATATTAAAGGTTGGTGTCAATAATTTCCACTCTTAAGTTATTAGTTTTGTTAAAAAAAAGATTATTGTGAGAATTTTTCAGAGCCGAATTTCATTCCAGAACATACTCTTGGCACTCACATATTTGGCCTATTTTTCTCTATAGCTTTCTTCCTACCATTAGTTTAAACTAACTTAATGTTGGTCAGAAATAAAGCATGTCACGAAACCAAGCAACTGAGGACATGAGTTGATACATGTTAGAGGGAAAGCAGTCAGAACAAGAAAGTAAACTTTAAAACAAAAAGAACAAAACTAAAATTTTAAATGTGTAAATAAAAAAAATATGTACCCAAATTTCATATATTATAATGTATGAAATTAAATATTTATTTTACTATATTATTCTAGAAAATTAAATTGCAAAATTATTTTAATATATTTAATAACCAAGAAATAACACAACAACAGGAACAAATGGGCAAAAACCAAAAAAAATTACTGATTTGTAATTAGGATTCTTATTTTTTATATTCATATCATTCAAAGCCTGAAAGATGATGATTTCTGTATGATATAATTGGTTGGTGAGATCTGATAAAAGGAAAGGAAAAAGATTGAAAAGTAGTGAGCAAATAGAAAAACTCCCTACAGCTTAGTTACTGGGGAGCTTACAGAAATGAGTAATATATTGTAATGTCACTCTTAACATTTGTCATACAATATTCTCTAATGACAGAGAAGCATTATTCTCTTCTTGTCACACGTGCTCGTCTTTCATCAGGCATCCATCAAAAGTGTCTCACAAACAGTTGAAAACCAGATATTGGACTATTCTTGACAATTCCTTGCAGTTTTAGCTAGAATCTTTACAATGGTTTTCTCTGTGAGAAGAATTTTTTTTTTAATAGTTGAAACTACAAAGCACATGTGTAATATTTTAAATGTTTTTATGTTCAGCATTTTTAAAATTATTGTATTTTCATAACTACTTATCTAAAGCAAATGTTTCATGAAACTAAAACTTTGTTTAATCTCAGTTTACAGATTAGCGAAAAATTTAACATCGATGTTCAATACAAATGTTGCAACATCAAAACATAATCTGACAAAAATTAAAGATTATTTACTTCAAGTACAGAGGTAATAACTGAAGGCAAACAAAATATTGGATATTAGATAGCCTATATAAAATTAAGAGAGCTGAGTAAGATATCAATTTATCAAAAAAAAGTTTTAACACCTTCTCTTATGCTCATATTAAATGAATATTTAATTATCCTAATTTCACTTAACTCATCAACTAAAATTAAGTTATGGAAAAATAAACACATTTTAACTTTGTGATTTTTAAAAATCAAGTGTATAATTTATCGTGATTAGAATGGTGGTCCTGCTTTTATCTACTTTATCAGATTCAGAATTCATAATAACTAAAAAGTTTTAACTACTATATGTAGTGTAATATAAACTGGACTTGTCATTAAAAATAAAAGTAAGCAATGACTTGTTTTAGAACTTATGATTAGTAGAACAAAGATGCTTTTACTTTACATTTCAAACCTATTAATGAAAGGTTGTTCATGAAACAATTTTTGAACTACTGAAAGACTTTTATAATAGAGGTCAAAAAGGTATGAACATGTTAATAGAAATAAAGAAATAATACTGCTGTTATTGACTAACCATTTTGACTAGTTATTAAAAGTTACTTCTCATTATGTTGTTTCCCTAATAATCAGTAAAAACGTTCTTCATAATTAACCTTTGTGACTCTTTATGGCTTGAGTTAGAAAGCTGTTCCCGAGATTTTGGGAGCCGTAGCTGCTGGCCCGCTGCTTCCCCCTGTAGCTTCTCTTTTTCTGCAGCTAATGCACGTTCTTTCTGTAATCTAGCAAATTAAAGAAAACTGTATTCTACTTATTTGTTTACAAGAAAACAAACAAATATTCAATTTTTTTTAAACCTCAAAAATTATATACATGCACACATTCTTGTTAGAGAATAATTTCTTGTATTTTTTTAGAATATGCCAATAACAACAAAAAACTGTATTTTGTTGCAAGTATGGCTAATTATTAAAGGAAAAATGCCTTGTAGTTACCTATCATAAAATTTTGTGACGATGCAATAAAAAATACCATAAATTTTATCTCATGTAAAATCAATAAATTTGAATTAAAGATGACACACAGTAGATTAATTTAAATAACTTAAAAACATGGCCAATTTGTTGAATTTCATAAAAAACCCTAAAATACTAATGAGTGTCACCACCTAATTTGAAAATCAAACTGAAACTAACT